TTTTGAGAGGGCATCTCTCATATTTATTGATCAAATGGTTGTTAACAACAATAAAATTCTGTATAGGGGAGTCAATGCTCAATGCACAATCTTTAATCCACCCCCAGCCTAATTCTCATCAGTCTCCAATCTTCTGAAGCATAACAAACAAGTTCTTACATGGTGAACAAATTCATACATAATGAATAAGTTCTTACATGGTGAACAGTACAAGGGCAGTTATTACAAAAACTTTCGGTTTTGATCACTCATTATGAACTATAAACAATCAGGTCAAATATGAATATTCGTTTGATTTTTATACTTGATTTATATGTGAATCCCACATTTCTCCCATTATTATTATTATTATTATTTTTTAAGAAAATGCTGAAGTGGTAGGTAGATGCAAGATAAAGGTAGAAAACATAGTTTAGTGTTGTAAGAGAGCAAATGTAGATGATCAGGTGTGTGCCTGTAGACTATGTGTTAATCCAAGCTAGACAAGGGCAATAAAACAAGGGATACATTTTTCTTTAGTTCTGATCTACCAATTCAGCTGTCTTGTTGTCTAATGCAGTATCACTCTATGACACTGAACCCTGAAGTATCTGATTCCACTGCTGCCTCTCAATCAGAGCTTGCACGTCTGAGCTGGCCTCTTCTCTGGCAGAGCACTACAGTGGAAATGGCTGGAGCTTTCGTTAGTCTGTCCCAGCTGAAAGTCAGTAACTTCTTTATCTCATATAAAAATACACATCTCCAGTGATTATAGACTAGAGATGAAAAACCAGCACCATTAAAACTATGGTATAGCTATTGTCACCTCAAAAGGAATTCTTCTTACTAAGTTAAGACAAAATCATCTCTTCCCCATTCCGTAAACATACCTGGAAGGCATCATATCTCTAAAATCCTCTCCTGGTGGCCAGTCCTTCAGTTTCAACACCATTGGTTCTTTTTCATTTTTTAAGCGGTCTGAAAAATAGCCGTAATTACTGAATGGTTACTATTCACAACTCAGAAACAGACCAAAATAAGTGGCGATTAGCATTTTATGCCTTACAATGCAAGTAAAATGTACTTACCTTGGAAAAATGCTCATAAGCTGATGCATTTAGCATGCAAATATTTTTCTTTAATAGTCCCCTCTGAGCAACTGCCAACCATTTTATTTCTGCAGTGCCAAGAAATTCATTTGTACCCAGGAGGCAGCAAGGGGTAGCAAAATAAAGATCACCAACTAATTTGTCTTAAAGTGCTGTCTTTTCTAGATGCTTATTATTAAACTACTACCTGTTCTCTGAGATTTCAGGTGCTGTCTCTGTCCCTTTACACACAACACGGGTGGTGTTCTGACAGCTGTCCCTCTTAGGTCTGTTGTCCTCTGTCTATACAGTGTTCTGGAAAGAGTGAGCAGCTCACCAACTAAAATGAGCAATTCACTTCCACAATCAAAGGCCACTGGTGATTAGTAAACCTGGTTTTCTGAGGCCAGCATGAAACAGAAATGACTTTTTTCAGTCTCTGAGCAAGACTCTACCTGATGTTCTGTCCAGAGACAACTAGGGCCAAGAGGGCCCACTGGGGTCAGGCTGAACTGTTTTCTTGTAACAGAAATGGTACCCGTTGCAGGCAATGACAGGGAACTGAGAATTGATGAGCCCTCATTAAAAAAGATATGCTGACAATTATGATTAACAGTAATGACAACTGTGACTTCATTTCTCGATCTGTTCCAATATCTGCTCGTTGTTTTCACCATTTAATCTTTAGAACTACACCCAATATCCCAAAGAGATTAGGCACTATTTAGTATTTCCATTTTTGGATGAGGAAATTGTCAACTGCCTAAGGTCATTTAGGTATTAAGTGGGAGAACTGGAAATGGAACCTATGTTTGATTTCAGACCTTGTACTCTGGAGGAATAGTATCTATATCATATTTTAGTCAATCAAGTAGTCTCATAACCTAGTTTAAGCAGATACACAGTCTAGGAGGCAGCAAAGAGAAGAACCCCAGCAGCACGTCACTGCAGGAGGTATGCGGCATATGCACGGAGAATCAGCAGCACAGAGAAGACAAGCTGCAGTGGGTGCACCAGGCCTGAGATGTACCCCAGCAAACGTCAGTCACCAAGCTCATATATGCAAGAACGTATCAGGAGTCAAGCTTTGAACCCAGGCCTTAACTGGGAAGCACACTGTGGTAGCTGTGCTGCCAGATTCCCTTCAAAGGCCCTGCTGCCCAACAGGTTTTAGGGTCCACCTTGGCTACAGAAAGCTGCCTTGTCAGGTCACCTGCTTCCTGGGGCACCAAGTCTAGAGACTGAGAGAGGTAGGGCAATCAAGGCCCCGACATATCCCATGTCAGCCAGTCTGAGACACTGCGGGGCACTGCTTGCTCCAGTGCTCCCCGCCAGGCTGCCCGAGGCTCTGCGGAGTGTGCACTGCAGCTGCCTCCGCTTGCCGCCCACTCCTGCTTCTGCCTTCATGTCACAGGTATTGTTCCTAGGGTAAACATCTTCCATCTGAAACTCCATCCCAGCAGTAGGCAGTGGCCAGGATACCCTGTGTTAAATGAACTCATGCTCCCTGGATGCCTTCAGATCTGCTTCTCTTGTTAACAATAGTTAAAATTTAAAGAAATTACAAGGATATATGAAGGTAAGACATGAAAAGCCACCAGCCTTGAGTCACAAGCCCTGGCTCTCCTCGTGCTGTGCCCCCAGCCCAACCTGGACTCAAGTGCAAGCACAGCATTTCTGTCATGATGGATGTGGGGCCACCCAAAGAACAGATAACCAAACCTCAGCTCTCTAGGTACTACAAGGTGAATGTGCCTTAGTTCAAATGCATAAACTTCAGAGAAGGAAAGGGAGGAGGATGTAAGACACTAAATGTAGACTCCAAATCAGGGAAAATGCTATTGCTGCCTGAAGAGCCTCAGACTCCAGTTATTCCTGTGCCCCTTCCTTCACACCCTCAACCCCAAAGGTCTTGAATACGTACTTGGAACATCTTCAAATCCATCCCAGAAGTCTCCTACTGTGGCTCCTGTGATGATTTCATTGGTCCTACAATTAACTAGGTCAACTTCCTGATTGCCAAACTCTTTCCTGAAGGACTCGGGTTTCCAAAGTTCAGTGTTCAATTTATGATGCACTCCTGACACCATCACTGGCTGAAAAGATTCAGGATGAAGATTTTAGTTTGAACTTGCCCAGCTCAGTCCCCACACCTGCAGCAGCCACTTTTCAAACAGCTGCTGAATTTCCTCTGTAGCTGGCCCTCAGTCTCAGATCCCAAAGGGACTGCTTAGTCCTCTAAGCTGACATAGCATTTTTTGTCTTTACCACTCATCTGCTCTCAAAGTACATCCGTAACTTCCAGGCACTAGGGTCACACCTTCCAACTCAGATCCTCATTCTCACAAAACACCTACACCGAGCAAGGCTCAGGGCCAGGCGGGGGGCGTGGCGGAGAGAGCAGGGTGGTGGGCGTGTCCTGTCCAAAGAGGGTCTGATAGTGCCAGGCAGAAATAGATGTGAGGTTGCCAAATCTTCTGGTTAGCCAAGGCAAGCCAGAAATTCTGATCATTATGTGAAATAGCCTGGCTATTAGCAACCAGTTTGATTTTTCTTAAACATTATGCAACCCCAACAAAACATGTTGGTGGACTGTATTTAGTCTATTACTGTTGTCATGAACAAACTTTATTAGTACAAAGGGCTGAAAAAATTTAGAATTTTTTTCTGTTAAATATACATATTTTTCTATTTAGCAATTCTCCAAGTTCTGGCCTTGTCCAAGAGTAAAGCGTTCCTTTAGTGAGGACTCCATTTGGCCCAGGAGAGAAGCCAAAGATCCAGAAAACAAAAACCAAAACAAGAAAGCAGGGGAGCAGGCCTATAAAGTCATGCATCTCCTACACTGTGAACCAAAACTTAAGATCAGAAGATGCTGTCCCTTGTAAAGCAGGCCCCTTCAGAGATTACATACCAATTCCAAGATGACGCCATATAGCTCTGGCCCACCTGAAATAGCCTTCAGCACAAGGTTTTTAACTCATGGAAGAGGGATGCATGATTTTTGTATTTGTCTAATCCCCCAACCCCATCAGCCAAGTCAAACCTCAACTGGAGAAGTAGGGGTATATCACACAACAATCATTCAGCCCAGAATGCTCTCATCAAAATCCAATGATGAAGGGTGAGCAGCAATCAAAACCTTACTGGAAAAGAGCTCAGGAATGTCTACTGTAGAAGTAAGACTCACAACCATGTTTTGCCCTAACTGTATTCACCATAAACAAAAAAGCATACACACAAAAGAGATATAGTATATACCTCTTGTAATTGGTAGGGGGCGGTGGGGTGTGGGGGTGGAAGGTTCTCAGAAATTGACCAAAGGAGCCAAGAAAGAGGATCTGAATTGGGTTGTGGGAACGGAGGCCCCTCTCACCTGCCCTTGCTTCCAGCACTCCCTAAACACATTCCAGTTGCTCTTGTTGTTGGGATCCTGCAGGCACAGCAAGCGATTATCACATAGCCAATAGTGAGGAGTGTCAAACCCCAAAATGCTGGGCTTGATCGTCAGTCCTTGAGGCCTCTTAGATAAATCAGAGGAGGTCTTATTTTGCACCAGAGAGGCAAAGATGTCATCAAGGATTTTGGGTGTATTCTTGAGTCCATTTTCTGTCTGAATTTTAGAAAGAACACAAGACTTAAATATGTCATTCCTACCATCCAGGAATCCATTCCTGTAACAGTAGAATGAGTACACATTACATATCCCAGAGACAGTCTAAGCCAGGACCTAGATGGTGGGGTAAGTTCATTCCTTTCCCCCACCTGATCACAAAACATAGAAGTGGGTATAGGAAAAGGTGTATAGGAGAAAATGGCCCAGCCCAGTACTACAAATCCTGTGAAGCCCACCTGCCAATGACACAGCTTTCTGTTCCAAAGAAGGAAAGCAGGGGACTCATATCCTTCTCTCTACTGTTTCAATTTCTCTAGTTTCTTCCTGTTCTGCCTCTACCCATATTTACAAGGTAAGTACAAACAATAAAACAAAGCATACCTTTCCTGCGGAGGAGTTCAAGAGATTTCGGAGGAAACCAGAATTATTGTTGCTTACAGGTGTCAAAATTGTGCTATTAAAGGTGTGGAGGACTGTGCTGGATTTGCTCAAAGGGGGCAGGGGTGGAAGGCATTTGATTTCATTCTTTAAAATTGGCATCGTTGGTTGTTTCTCTAAGAACAAAACCAAAACATCCAGATGGAAAAGCATTCTGAAAGGCAAATCCCTTACTAGGCTTTTATTATTTTCCTTACTAGGAACTTGGTTTTCATTTACTGGAACCAAAAAACAAAGAGGATCAACACGAATGACATTATTGATGTAGACAAGGATTTCCAACAGGCATTAAAACTATAAATATCCAATATCTAAGATGGTACTACAGTGAATAATATTTTTTAGACTTACATTTTCTATTTGTTCCTGCTATACAAGATACAACTGATTTTTGTAAATTAACATTAAGGTAACTAGCAACCTTGATAGATGTTTATATTAAACATAGATTCTTTTAGATTTCTCACGTGTATAATCAGATCATCTACTGCTGATAAAGTTGTCAATAGCTTTCTTTCTTTCCAATCCTAACATTTTTGTCTGTCTGCCTTGCTGCAGGATTTCTCACACAGTTCACTGAGGCAGTGAGACAGACATCCTCATCTCCTGAACAGAGGAGAACTGTTAAAAAAACAAAAAACTCAACCTATTAAAAATATTCAGTCATTATTTATGATGTTTGCTGTCTTTTTTATTATAGAAACTCAACAGGTAAGGACATCCCGTTCTGTTCCTAATTTGTTTGTTTTTTGCTTTTTATCATGAAAAGGTATTGAATTTTACTACTTTTCTGTATCTTGCCACATACACTTATTCTCTTTTAAAAACTACTCCTGCATTTCTGAAGCCCTGCTTGATCATGCTGTGTAATTCCTTCATTTATATGTTTAATTCGATCCACTGAAATTATGCTTAGGATCTTTGCATGAATAAAATTGACTTGTAATTCTTCTTTCCAAGATAGCCAGAAAGCAAATCACTTAATTTCTCATCCACCTACCTAATTCCACATCCCGAGACAACAGCAGAGATGAAAAAAAAATAACAGAAGCCAGAACATTCCAATTTGGACAAAACAGGAACTGTACACAGGTAAGTATAGAAAGGCAAAAAATCACTTACTGAAATGAACAAATCTCAGTCCACTCCATTCTTACCAAAAACAATCTCAGCCTTACCGAGGATTCTAACAGCAGAAGTCTTCTCTGGTGCTGCATCTTGAAAACAACTGCATTCATGCCAGGTCTCAGGGCGTTTACAGGGAACCCATTCTAATAAGCCTTCTAACTACTCTGTTCTCACCGCAACTGAAGTTACCAAGTCCCTCTGCAAACACTCCAAGTTCTCAGTGACCCACAGGAAAGCAGGCAATACTCACCCTTGTTTTCTTTGTTGACATTCCCACTGGTTAGGTCTGCCAGCCAGTTTAAAGGAGATGTGCTAGCTGCACAGGCAGGCTTCGTGCTGCTGGCTGGCTTGGAGGCAGCTTCTCCACCTAGAGCCACTGGCTCCGTCACTGAGGGGTTCGGTTGGAGCACAGCACCAAGAGTAGGCTTTTCTCCAGCTAAGGAAATCTGTGTTGAGTGCGAAAGGAGAATTTTATACAAGCTGAAAAATTACGTAGGGATGCTCACACACATCCCTACCATTCCACCCACTAGGTTGCTTTAACATGACCAGCTTAAGGCCTCTCTTCCCTATGAACTCACAGTACCCTAAATAGGCACTCAAATCTGGCTGCTTAAAGAAGAAATGAGGCAGGGGAAAGGTACAACTGTGATTTCAGAAGGAAATGGGAGGCAGAGAAAAGAAAATGTTATTTTGAGTTAACATAGTATAGTATACTTTAAAATGTGATTAAGAGCTCTTAAAAGAACTCAAACATAAACTGAAAAACAAAGGGACAGAGCACACAACTCATTTTTCTGTTACATAAAAAACTGCTTTGACGACTCAGCTGATAAGTTTATACATACTTAAGACGGAAAAAGAATAACCTAATTCCTGTTGTGGTCCCAACCCTCCCTTTACATGTGGTTCTGTGATACCCAATTATCAATACTGTTTTATCATTCCTCTTTTACTTATGAAGAAGTTGAAGCACATATAAATCAGTTTATTTGAGCCAAAGTTATGCACAGAAAGTAGTAAAAAAGAATTCAAACTTAGTTCTGACTCCAAAGATCCCAACTCTTCTATCCATGCTGCCTTTGACCCCTGAGATGTATGAAAACCAAAGAATTTCTGGTTATTACAACCACAATGGATAATGATTACTGGGGTGAGGGACAGGAAGGCAGTCTTGGAGGGTGGATTCGATGGTGCAGATGAAGGGGATGCTGGCAGGAAAAAGGAAGTCCAAGCACGATGGAAATGCACATTTTTTAAGTCAAGTGATGACTACATACAGGGTCATTTCAGTACTGTTTCCTTCAACTCTTCATACGCATTATAAGTAAAATACAGTCAGTAATTAAAAAAATTGTAAAGCTAACCTGCAATATTTCAACTGCAAAACCTAAGAAATTAAAAAAACCCATACAAATTTAAGAGCAACTTATTAGGCAGACTGTAAAGAAGAGATTTTCTTTTTTCGATAAACAGAAGTTAAAAATGTATTAAAAGAGGCTATAGAGAAGTCCACAAAAATAACGTGAGAAGAGTCAACAGGCCTATGCGTGTCACATGAAACGAAAAGAATCTCTCTCTCCACTGACAACTGTCCCCGCATCCTTTCAAATGCACTACAGAAATCCTTCGGTTATTTGACAACAGATAACAATCATAAAACTGTTGAATCTAGCATAAAGAGTAATAATACCTGGTTTATGTCTTCCTTTGAGGCTGGCTTTGAAAAGAGCTTGAACTGCCTGCTTGAACAGGGACAATTTGCCTTTATTCCCCATTTTGCTCTTATGGAATGAACAAGGTCTCCAACATCATACAGGGCTTAAAAAAGGGCAAACATCTGAGTAAGGATATTAGGTACTTTCACTGCAGCATTCCAAAGGAGAAGCTGGTATTTCCAATAGGATTACTGTTTTTAGCAGCATATACTGCTTACACCTTTTCAACCTAGCATGCCTCCCCCACATGCACCACGTTCTCTCCTTTCACAAAACTATTTACAAGACATCAATCAAGAAGTTTTGGGGGCATAATTTGATACATTTCTGGACAATTTATAGTATATACTAAAATAAGTTAACAAGTAACTATATACCATTAAAGCGAAACCAAACCACCAGCCCCTCTGAGGTAACCAAAACATGGGAAAGTACCATTGCACCACATGAAATACCTTTTCCAGGAATGATCTGTGTGGGCATTAGGTTCTCTGGTTCATGTATCTGGCTCTTCACACATCTTAGCCAAGAGAAAGTCTTGTAGGCAGCACCTGCAAAGAGCCCATCTGTAGTAACTGCTCTTCGTGGACCCTGGGCCCAAATGCTTCAGAAATCTATCCACCACAAATCAATGCAAGGCTGAATGTAAGTGTGTGAGGGGCTCTGAGGAGAATCAAATTGGTTCTTACCCTGTTGGCAATTTTTCTTCTTCATCCGGTAGCAATCCAAACACACTCCAAACCCACACCGAGGACACACCCAGTGCAGGTTGAAGATGGTGGTGTCACACACGTCACACATTTCTCGAACACCTCTGACAGCTCGCTTCCAAGCAACCTGTCCTATAAAAATCAATACATCACTTAGTCTTGGGGAGGAGAGGGCCTCTGAAATAAAGCATGAGTGGGGAGGGGAGTTGATATCACTGGAGTCCTATTAACTGATCTACCTCACAGCCAATCTCAACGTCCCCCCGAACCCCTACTGTGAAGCTCCCCTGGACTCCTTCAGCACTCCCATCAACTTATATTCGTACTTTGGACTGGAGCCTCTTCCCACTGTACAGAGTCAGATGCAGTCTAATTTCCACCTAGGGAACTGAGCTCCACACAAGCAGAATCCCTACTTGGGCTATGCCCTGCCACCACCCCTGGCCCCGCCAACAAGCTCTGCACACCACTGGTGCACAGTTAAGTCCGACGGAAAATAACCAATTGGAAACGCAGCAGTGGTTACATGAGCTGGAGTGCAGACACAGGTGTCACACGGCAGTGGTTCTTCACCTTTTGGGACACGAGCCCCTTGCGGAATCTGGAGGCAACAAGGACCATTCTTTGGCCAAAGACAAAAAAACTGACTCAGATACACAAACATCCAGCATAGAGTGTGTCAGGTTATTCACAGACGCCCTGGACCCACTCAGGGTGGATTACTCCATTTCATTACAATGTGTACAATATGGAGCGCTTTAGACACTGTACAGATGAGATTTCATAAACTTCATCCTGGTCATTTGGATAAGACTGTTTATTACAAAGTATTCTTAGATCGCTCAGCCACCCATTTAATGATGTCTTTGATAAGACAGAATCAACATCTAAAGGTTGAGACCTGCCTTCCTAATCTCAGGAGCAGAGGGTATAAGCCCGAGGAACACCTGTGGTGGCACCTTTCAGTATTATTCACAGTGAGTTCCTCTTTCTAACTGATCAGCTTGTCACAGAGGAACAGGATAATCAAACATGCGAGCAAGAAAGGTTAATCACATTTAAATTTTCAAGGACAGATTTTCTTAACTATGCTCTTAAAAGGCAACTAGGTATACTGCCTTCTGTATGGAAAAAGAAATTTTTCAGACTACTCACCTTGAGCAATTTAAAAACAACTCTGCTGGCTCAGGAGTGAAGTGACTAATACATATTCCAACAAAGTGTTTCTACATTCCAATCATTAATCTACTACCTCTACACCAGTTACTTAAAAGTTTTTCTTTAAATCTACTACTTTTACTTAAGTGTATATAATAAGGAAACTTTGTATCTCTACTGAAAATGGAAAACCAGCATCACTTGTCCTAAATAGAAGATTACAGGAACAACTTTAATAGACTCTTGTTTTATATGAATCTTTACTACTCCCAACAGAATGGAGTGATTCTAAAGCTGCTCTTTGCTTCACGTTTATAACTTTGGCACCCCACCGAGGCTCATGATCACCTCCCCCACCTAGCCCTGAATTCCTCTTCCTGGGAATGCCACACTTCCCATTACTTGGATTCTGAGATGTAACAGTATCCATCACTATCAACTATTTTTGTGCTTAAGTTAGCTTCAGTTAGCTTCTGGTACCTACAGCCAAAGTTTCTAAGACTAGTATGTGTGCAGATGATTGTGCTGAAACATATTTGTGCAAAGTATGAAAAGATGTCTACCAGGGAATGCAAAGGCTTCACTTTTAACTTGCAACCATTTTGGAAAAACAAAAACCATGGAAGAAAATACGAGACTTAAAGACAGATGCCCCTTGGTGCTTCTGGCTTAACATCTCACTTCTACAGATGTACACAGACAGCAAGATGTGCTGTCCTCCCAGACATCAGACCTTGAGATGTCATGAAAGAGATCTCACTCTAATGTGAAAGCCACAAGGATCACTGTGATTTACTGGGCTCCAGATCAGTGTGATAGTGCTCTCAAAAGGTGGAGGACTCAAAACATACCCAGCTGAAACCTCCAAGTATTCTCTTAAAATCTTGACTCTAACAGAATGCTTTTCATCTGAGCTTATTCCCATTCTAATGCCTGAGACCCTATTCCCCAGTCTCTGGTTCAGTGAGTCTAGAAAGAGTCTGTTCCTTCTTATTTTCTTTGAGTTGTATTCCTGATCAAGAACCTTTATGTTTTAACCTGAGGCATCATCCGCTTCTGGTGAACCCACCCTGCTGATAAGGCTGTGCAAATTCTACCATGATCCCATCTTTACTTTCCTTAGCGAAAAAGAATTTTTATTCCTTTAGTAACTGCCCCAAAATAAACTCCAGAGATAGGTGACTGACTCTAAGCCCAATAGGCAAGATCTTTTACAAAAGGAAAAATGCAACCTCATTATACCAAAGTCATCTAAACTTCTGGGTGAAAATGAAACCCATGCATTTAGGACTTGGGTGTCATTTAGGAGCAAAAATCAAGTTGGACTCAAAAATCCTACCCCCTAAGAGATGCTCTTACTGTGTGGCTCAATAGTTGACATAGCCTCCTTTTCAGAAATCACCATTTGACAGAAGTGGTCTCCAATGTTGGCCAGGATATATTTTGCTGTGTCCAAATCAGTCCCCACAACATTTTTGGTTAATGGCAACCACAAGCCAATTGCTTCATTGTCATACTTGTTTGGTGTTAAGAAGCCTTCTACACGCAACACACCATGTTTGTTGAATTGTAACCTAAGAGGAAGTAAAGGAGAAAAAAGTATGTTATACACACACACAAAATTGATTTACATATTCAGTTGCTATTTAAACCAGCA